TCAGATTTCAGCAGGCAGGTTCATCCTCGGCTGCTCCCGTTGATGTTAACGCTTGTTGATTGGAAGGCAGCCTGTTGTGCCTACAGGTAGGCAGCAATTTGTTGTTATCATTGGTGCTTCATGTGCATCAGAGAGGAGACAAGAAATTCATTAGATCATGAGGCTGCAAGGTGAAATAGAGATGCTAATATCTCTCCAGTGGGATGCAAAGGAGCTGATTGTGTCATTTCTCAGCATGTGTACACATGTGTGTGTGTGCATGCATGCGTCCCAATAGCCAGGCCAGGAGATTACTTAAATATTAAAATGCTTCAATCAGAACTCTGTTAACCATACAGCTTGTTTAATGGTAAAAAGATGGTTGCAGAAACCTAGCTATTTTTTTCCAAACCTAGATTTGTCCAAATTGTAGGTCTACCGCACTTCAAGTGTGGATAGATGCTGGACATATTGTTTGAGGAACAAAAAAAAAATATTTTAAAATATATTGGTCTCTGTTTGGAACGTCTGGCCTTCACAGCTGTATAAAATTCACATTGAACTAGATTATCTGGCTTAGCTACTCTAGCTCTAGAAAGAATTAACAAAACTCTAACAAGGAATATTATATGATCATGCCTGCCTTGTCAGAGATAAATGAGACTGTTTCCTTGCTCAAATTTACCTTAATACAGTGTGCATCATCATTCAGAGCCTGCCATAAAGGAGTTCCTCACTAGCACAAAACATATCACCATTTACCTCTACCCACACACCTTAAAGGTAAAGGTTTCCCCTTGACATTAAGTCCAGTTGTATCCAACTCTGGGGGCTGATGCTCATCTTAATTTCTAAGCTGAAAAATTGGCATTGTCTGTAGATGTTTCCAAGGTCATGTGGCCAGCATAATTGCATGGAGCACTATTACCTTCCCACTGAAGCTGTACCTATTGGTCTACTCACATGTTCATGTTTTTGAATTGCTAGGTTGGAAGAAGCATGGGCTAAGAGTGGGAGCTCACCCTACTCCCTGGATTCAAACTACTGACCTTTCAGTCAGCAAGTTTAACAGTTCAGCAGTTTAACCTGCTGTGCCACCGGGAGCACCACTCACACACATTAGACAAAGCTAAAATGACAAGAAGCACTTTCATCTTATAGTAGCTTGTTCTTGAAAACATATCTATATAAATAAAAAATGTAATGTTCATTTGTGAGATTAACAGAACTCAAAAACCACTGGATGAATTGACACCAAATTTGGCAGCAAAACACATTCTAATCTGATCTATGTCTTTCAAACAAAAAAACCCCCATAAAATGAAGGGGAAATAACTTAAAACTCCCCAAAAAGAAAAAATGTCTTACAGAGGCGCAAAAGCCCCTCTCCCCATTGTACGAGAAGAATGACGCACCAACAATTGTGAAGGAAGAGAAGCCTCATCATGGAGTCCCTTTCCATGCAGGAAGGCAGAGTCCTTTTTCTTTTGGGGAGGGAAGGGATTGAGGAAAGGAAAGAGGGAAGGAAGGAGAAGTCCTGGCCCAACGGAGGGGTGGGGGCTTGCCGAGGAAAGCCCTGGCAGCTGCTGGAGCCACCACAGTGGCTCCATGAGGCCCACATGGCTACCAGACAACTCTTCCTCCAAGACCAGAGGATTGCAAAGCAAGCCTGACTGCAGGAGCATGGCTGCACACTCCCCCCCCCCCCCCCCCCCCCCGTTGGGTGAAGGGAGGATGCAAACCATGAGAAGGCCAGCAACAACTCTCCCACTTGGGCTCCACATCCACCCTTTCACCCCCTCCCCAATCCTTACAAACTGCCCTGGAGAAAGTAGGGGAAAGAAAGGGAAAGGAGAGAAGAAAATAAGAAAAGGATTGGTGAAGAGAAGATTATGAATGGAAGGAAAGGTGGAAGGAAAGGAAGAGGAAGGAAGGAAAAGGAGTCAGGGATGGGAGAGGAAAGGAAGGGAAGAGGCAGGGAAGGAAGGAAGGAAGGGGGAAACTGGTGAAGGGAAGAGAAGAATATAGAATCAGAGAGCCCTAGAGATGGGAGACACCTGGTGGGCCATCCAGGCCAACCCCATTCTGTGAAGCAGGAAAATCACAGTCAAAGCACGCCCAACAGATGGCCACCCAGCCTGTTTCAAAAAGGCTTTTTTGAGTGTTTTGGCCAGCATGAATATAATTGAAAAGTCTTGCAGCTTCAGTGGCTGCTTCTCATTACTTTATTTTCCATACCACCTTGCACCTTAACAGCCTGGCTTCTACTAACCAGCGGGAAACCTTTGGTGGGAGGACTTCCCTAGCCCAGATTGCTTCATGTCTGCAAATCCTCTGTTTTCTGAGGGCCACAGCAACATGTGGCCAGGTACAGCTAGTATGCTCATAAAATACAAGGATCCCATTTCCTTAGCTACCAATGCCTATCCATTTTAATATATTCCAACTCTATAAAGCAAGGTAAAGGTTTTCCCCTGACATGAAGTCCAGTCATGTCTGACTCTGGGGTGTGGTGCTCATCTCCATTTCTAAACCGAAGAGCCAGCGTTGTCCGTAGACACCTGCAAGGTCATGTGTCCAGTATGACTTCATAGAGCGAACATGCTATATAAAGATCATTGAAAATGATAATTTTATTAAGTTTGTGGCAGTAGACGACCACATTACAGTTAGGTTGATTAATTGAAAGAAGGAAACCATAGCCCTGGGTTTGCAAGACCTGAGCAGAGCTGTGATGACTTGTGAATCTTTAAGGTCTTCTCTCATTCATTGAACTGCCATACACTCAAACCAACTTGATTGCAAATAAGAATAAAACATGATGTGCTTGGGTATACACAGTGCTTTTCTCTGACCCATAACTATATCTTAATCATCTGGATCTTAGAAGGCAGAAAATACCACCCTTGCTACTCTTTTAAAAAAATATTAAGCATGTTTTCTATAATCTATATCCTACACTGAGATATGTCTACAATCTCTCATCTAGAAAGAAAAGAGATAAATAATATAAAAATTCAAACTAATATTGTTAGATTAAATCATGTGTTGTATTTATTGTGATGCCCATTTTTGCTCATTTATTCTTTACTTGATTATTGAACCTGTTCTGAGAGTGCAGTGTTACTGCTGTTTAATTATATCAATACATGACAGCTAGGCAGTATAAGCATTCCGGTTTGTTGACAATCAGATTACAAGAGAAAGAAGGCTCATTCATACATAAATATTTGTTTTTCTCTGGAATGATGTTGTTGAATGATGATTTCAATAGGCTTTGTGCTGTCCCTCCACTAAGGATGCTTATGAAATTAATTTGCATCATTTGGGATAACTAAGCATCTGTTTGCAAAGCAATTAACCAACTTTCCTCATTGACATGTTACACAAAAGGCCTAAGAGCAACATACAGACTAAAGAAAGAAATGAAAATGATGGATTTTCAAAATCCATTTGTGCATTGTCTTTTCCCTAAAGCAGCAATTACTGGTTTCCAGTGACAATGAATGGAGCACGTCCTGAGGGAGTTATCAACACAGTTGTGGTGCACATGTTTCATATGCATTAGGTTCTAGGTTCATTCTCTGGTATCTTGAATAAAGGAATACTAAATAGTGTGGCTGGGAAGGACTTTAAGAGAAAAATAGCAATGGAATGTATACAATTTTTAGCTGGTCCAATTAATGACCAGATTCCATATAAAAAAGACCAGAGTTTGTAAATTAGCTTTTTTTAATTTCCCTAACCAGAAACCCCAGCTTACAGTGTCCCTGTCTATATTGTTTAGAATATTATAGAAGTTGTCATCTAAATTTTTAAAACAGATTATTATATTTTACCACTGTCTGTAGTTATACATTATATACTTCCCAACCATCACATGCCAAAACAGGGAAGTGAAGGGCACAGAAAGAGGCAAGAAGCCTTGTGACATCATAATAATAATAATAATAATAATAATAATAATAATAATAATAATAATAATATACTTTATTTATATTCCGTTATATCTCCCTGAGGTGACTCAGGACAGATTATAGAGCACATATACAGCAAACATTATATGCTGTTATACAATTAACAAAGATAGGCAATACATAAACAGAGGTAAAGGCTTTTCCCATTTTTTTCAATTTCTGGCATCTAGATGCTGTGCTCAACCTCGGCCACTGGGGAGGGGGGGTGCTGTCACTCCATCTTCCATTGTTCTCCCGATTGAATCGCTGGCATGTTCTTATTACCTCCCTGCTTAAAGTGGAATCTATTTATCTACTCACATTTCTGTTTTTGATCTGCTCAGTGAGTAGAAGCTGAGGCTGACAGCGGGTGCTCACAGCTTGAACTGTCAACCTTTCAATCAGCAGGATTTTCTGCAATTTAGCAGTTCAATCCACTGTGCTAATGTGACTTATGTGAAAGATGAGCAGACACTAACCTATAAATTGGGTACTGAAAAGTAACTTCGTTCTTCTTCTTCTGAGAACGATTGGTACAATACAGAATTAGTCTAGCTCAAATGTTGCATAGTCATTGATGTTATTAAAGGAAGGGGTTTGGGACTATATAGATTTCCAATCCCTAATTGTGGGGAGATGCATGCCTAATGATATCAAAGAAATTGAGCACATGTTGCAATAATTCTACAAGATACTACATCTGTCAACTGTGTCATCAGAATTCATTATAAAGAGATGTAAATACAGTATTCATTTAGTTATATAAGTTTCATACCAATTTATTTGCCCCAATTCCATCCTAAGGAATTGTGAGATATATAGTGCACCAAGACTTCCCAAGGCCATTTATCTGAACTAGTGCCAAGGTATCAGGAAAGCCTGTCTATAAAATTGAATTTAACTGATTAATCGTCATTTTCTCTTTATTCAAGGTATCCCATAAGAACATCATCAGAATTAACTCACCATGTACTTGGTTGTGCAGTGCAGACGGAACTTATGTAATTCCAAGATGTTGTTTGATTTTCTAATTATTTAAACATGTCTCTTTTTCTTCAAACCCAGTGACTATGGATTTGAACGTCACAGCAATGGCCAGTGTTTGCCTGCATTTTGGTATAACCCATCAACATTGTCGAAAGACTGCAGTATTGGTCAAAGTTACCTCAATAGCACTGGGTGAGTGACTAAAGTTACCAAAAGCTTGCTCATTGGCATGTCCATGTGTGAAAGTGTTATTAAATTATCCAACAATATCTCTATATATGAGGCTTGAGATCTTTGATTCTTGCGTAGTGACATGTAAAATACAAAAGACACAGGTAAACTTGTGTAGCCATAAAAAGTACCATATTCCATAATAGAGATTTTATTAAGTTGCCAAATGATGCTGTTGTTAGTTCTGTAGAACTCTATAAGGCTATATGTTTGAAAAATATGTAATAAGAGGACACTGAAGCCAGTTGGTGTTCAACACCTTCTGTGTGCATAGCCTGAAACCCTAAGATAACCCATAGGCTGAAGCATGATTACCGGGCATCATCTGGTATATTTAAGAAAAAAGAAACACCCTTTATGAGTATACTAGAAGCTTTGGAAGGGTAAGGCAGCTTTTTTTTCTCAACTGTTCCATTTCAGACAGCATTATAGCCACTGCCTCTTGATTGAGATGCACCCCAGTGGTGTCAGATTGTGGTTGTACATTCACTAAAAGAAGAAGCACAGATTGCCTTGAAATGCCTTAAGTGGGGAGATCAGTATAAACCCCCTGCCAGAGCTTTCCACTTTTTTCTATTGAATCTGGTTTATGTAACTCATAGCTTGGTACTTCCAAGTACTTTGACCAAGTTCCTGAAGCTTATCAGTTTGAGCTGGTTTATGCTTCTCTTGATGAAAATTGCTTGACAGGTGGCAGTGGTGAACTGGAAAAGTTGAACTTCACTTGAAATTAACCAATTGCAACTGTTTCTTATACTGTCATATCTGTTACCACATTTGAACAGGTATAGAAAGGTTGTATCTAATAACTGCACAGATGGTGTGCGTGAGCAGTATACAGCCAAGCCTCAGCAGTGTCCTGGCAAGGCCCCAAGAGGGCTTCGAGTTGTCACTTCGGAAGGCACATTGACATCGGAACAAGGGCACAATGTTACATTTCTGATGCAGCTGGAAGAGGTATGCTCTGTTTCACGTTTTCCCACTGAGGCTTTTGAGTATGAATTATTTAGAACAAAATGGAAAGAACAAAACACGATTAATTAAATGATGCTGTTGAATGGATTCATGGTTTGATAAATCAGACATATCCATTTAAAACAAGCAGGGCCTAATGCACTTCTTTGTAGGCTGAAATTATTGTCCTCCCTGATTTCTTGACAATTATGTTGAGGCTGCCTCAGCTAATATTGCAAAGAAATGAGAAATCAACACAGAGAAATCATGAAGAATTCAGGGTTTTGAAATTAGGCATACAGTCACTTTCTTTAGTAATGCAAGGTATGAAAATTATATCTATATTAACTAACAAATGTGGCTTGTTTGCCCAATCACTTCAGACAATCTTGTTTCATGTGATGATGTACAAGTCAGTATTACAGTATCACCCCTCCACTTTCGTAGGAATTACAGACAGCTCCCCCATGAAAGTGGAACAGATGCAAATATATCTGTTGTGGAAGGTATGTGTCACTGCCACTGCATCCCCCAAGGGGAGAGCTCTACCCACAATGGTCCGGGGGAGGAGCTGATTCCATACATTTCTTCACTTACTTTGAAGATCCTGGTTTCTTTTTCTCTTTCTGCATGCCCCAAATATCTGTTTCGTCAATGTACCTCCTTTCCTTTGTCTCAGAGAAACAGATATTCCCAGCTCACAGGTGAAGTGAAGTGGTAATAGGACTAGCTCCTCCTCTTCCTGCATACCATTAGTATCAGTTTCATCTGAGTAAAGGAAGGGAGGTACTGGGTGAAACAATAAACAACACACCTGCTTCCTAAATACCCCCCACACAATGACCTCCTGAAAACAGGACAGCTATGCAAATGTTCATACAACAGCCCCAATCCTGAGAGGCAGGTTCACCATTTCATATTCATGAATAATCAAAACTGCCAAAGTGGGGGGATGGCTGGAGTTGGGATAACAGAGAGCATCCTTTTCTGAGAATGTAGTCTGTGAGAAAATATTGCAGAATTGATGTATTATCTCAAATAAATAGCTTGAATGCAACTTAATGGAATAAATTGTCGATAGCTTAGATACTTTTATGGCATGTGCATTTCCAAGAAATTCCATATATGTTAGGTGTCAAGGACAAAGTTCACCTATACATTTTTGGTTTTTTGTTGTGTGAGTATTGTGTAGAGTAGAAGAAGAGCAAGTTTTTTAGAGTATAGTTGTGTAACTTGTTTTTTGGAATAAGCTCCTCTGAACTCAGTAAAACCTATATTTAAGATACACAAAGGACTGCATTATCATTCACTATTTCTCACCGTGTGTGTGTGTGTATAGCACACAACACATCTTTTCTGGATTTAATACACATTTTGTTAATAAGAAATCATATTAATGCTTCGAACAGTGGATCTTTGCCATAGCAAAAAGAAACTGGGTAAATCTGCATAAAGATTACATAGAGCAGATTGTTAAGAATTCCATTCTGGAAGACAACTGAGGAAAAGCAACATCTGCCTGCCACAAAGCCCAATTAAAACTCAATTTTAAACATCTGCATGGCTAAAGAGATAACAAGTCATTGCATAATTGAAGAGTTCCAAATCAAATGTGAGGTTTGGGACTCAATTTTTAAAACTTTGGATCACATCTCATTGTTTAATTTACATATGCAATCCAGCACTTTATAGAACAAATTCATGCTTGCGGTCTCTTGGGTGAGCTTGAAATTGGGTGTTTGAAGGTGTCATCCTCATTAGAACGACAGAAATTAGCAGTCTTCTCTTCAACATTGAAATAATATGGGCAGCATACAAGTAATCAACACATAATAATATTCTATAAACAGTTCAGGCTGCAATTTCTGAATACCTAAGTGTGAAAAACCAGGAAGACTGCAAGAGGAATTCATGTGTGAAATGCAGCTAGACATGCATGACCTGCCTTTCCTATATATCCATATATCTGTAAGGCAAACCAGATAAATAGCACTCACGCACCACTACCTTGCCAAATCCTGCAACAAAAATGACACAGTGTGACAATGAAACATTATTTATTCCGACTCCTTGGTGAAATAGGTTTGTGATAACAACCTTTGCAATTATGCTTCTCCTTTCCCCTTATTCTTGTTCTTCCTGATTTATTCAGCATAAATCTGACAAAGAAGCCTCCAATTTTTGGAAAGATTTATATCTGAATAATACCTTCTAGTGCCAGATGTGTAACTTTTGGAAAAGAGTGGAAACGATTAAACATAAAGGAGAAAAACTGTTCCCTCTGCAAATAGCACTTGCTACTGTTGTACTATGCACTCAACTTTAAAGGGTGCTAGATCAGGATTTTTTTTACAGTTGACCTTCCACGTCTAGAAAATATTTGAAGATTGTGTTGTTGAAGGCTTTCATGGCCAGAATCACTAGGTTACTGTAGGTTTTTCGGGCTGTATGGCCATGTTCCAGAAGCATTCTCTCTTGATGTTTTGTCTGCATCTATGGCAGGCATCCTCAGAGGTGTAAGGTCTTCGAAGATTGTTTGGTGCCATGATAGATTATTCAGTTCAGATACTACACAAATGTGTTTAGTTAAATTTTGTATCAATTTATTTTGTATGCTTATATACCGCAATATCTCAGCCTACAACGGCGACTCATTGCGGTTAACAGTACTTAAAAACAACAATAATCAAACAATTTAAAAGCATAAAAAACATATACAGTACACAGTATCGGGCCACCAATACCGACCAATGCATCTCTTAGTTAAAATCATAATCCGAATTCATCGTCAATAATTACCAGTCCTTGTCATCAACTTCATCGCACCGGATTACCCAAATGCTTGTTCAAACATCCATGTCTTAAGTTTTTTTCGAAATACCAACAGCGAGGGAGCTGATCTTATCTCTATAGGGAGGGCATTCCAAAGCCGAGGGGCCACCACAGAGAAGGCCCTGTCTCTCGTTCCCGCCAGCCGCACTTCTGAAGCCGGAGGGACAGAGAGCAGGGACTCTCCAGAAGATCTTAGGGTCCTGGTGGGCTGATAGGCTGAGATACGTTCGGATAGATATGTTGGGCCAGAACCGTTTAGGGCTTTAAAGGCCAATGCCAGCACTTTGAATTGGGTCCGGTAGCTAATCGGCAGCCAGTGGAGCTGGTACAGCAGAGGAGTTGTATGCTCCCTGCGCCCTGCTCCTGTTAGTACCATGGCTGCCGCCCGTTGGACTAGTTGGAGCTTCCAAGCCGTCTTCAAAGGCAACCCCACGTAGAGAGCGTTGCAGTAGTCAAGGCGGGATGTAACCAGAGCGTGGACTACCGTGGCCAAGTCAGACTTCCCAAGGTACGGTCGCAGTTGGCGCACGAGTCTTAACTGTGCGAATGCTCCCCTGGTCACCGCCGAAACCTGGGGGTCCAGGCTCAGTGCTGAATCCAGGATCACACCCAAACTGCGAACCTGTGTCTTCAGGGGGAGTGCGACCCCGTCTAACACAGGCTGTAACCCTGTACCCTGTTCGGCCCTACGACTGACCAGGAGTACCTCTGTCTTGTCTGGATTCAATTTCAATTTGTTCGCCCCCATCCAGACCGTCACAGCGGCCAAGCACCGGTTCAGGACCTGGACAGCCTCCTTAGTAGCAGGTGGAAAGGAGTGACAGAGTTGGACATCATCTGCGTACAGATGACACCGCACCCCGAAACTCCGGATGATCTCCCCAGCGGCTTCATGTAGATGTTAAACAACATGGGGGACAGTATTGAACCCTGAGGAACCCCACAATACAAAGGTTGTGGGGTAGAACAGGAGTCCCCCAGTAACACCTTCTGAGACCGACCCTCGAGGAATGACCGGAGCCACTGCAAAGCAGTACCTCCGAGACCCATTCCCGCGAGGCGTCCCAGAAGGATACTGTGGTCGACGGTATCGAAGGCCGCTGAGAGGTCGAGTAGCACCAACAGGGACACACTCCCCCTGTCGAGCTCCCGACGGAGATCATCCACTAAGGCGACCAAGGCTGTCTCGGTACCATGCCCCGGCCTAAAGCCAGACTGTGCCGGATCCAGATAATCCGTGTCTACCAAGAATGCCTGGAGTTGTGAGGCCACCACACGTTCCAGGACTTTGCCTAAGAAGGGGAGATTGGAAACAGGCCGATAGTTGACGAATTGAGTGGGGTCCAGTGATGGTTTTTTCAACAGCGGTTTTATTACAGCTTGCTTTAAGCTGGCTGGAATATTGCCTTCCCAGAGGGAGGCATTAACCACCACCTTCACCCACTCGGCCAATCCCCCTCTGGCCTCCTTCAGAAGCCAGGATGGGCAGGGGTCTAGGATGCATGTGGTAGCTCTCATTCCTCCAAGCACCTTGTCCACATCCTCGGATTTAACCCATTGAAATGAATCCATCAAAACCGGACAAGCAGATGCTCGTGTTACATCCTCAGAGACTGCCGTTAATATGGTGTCCAGACCAGAGCGGATCAAAGCGACTTTGTCTGCAAAGAACTGAGCAATGACTTCACAGCGAACTGCCGAGTCATCAGGGCACCCATCCTGGATGGTGGGTTTTAAAAGGCCTCTGACAACTCGGAACAGTTCAGCCGGACGGTTCTTTGCAGACGCAATAGTAGCCGCAAAGAAAGTTTCTTTGCGGCTTTTATTGCCGCGGCGTATGACCTTAAAAAGGACACAAACCGTGTTCGGTTTGGCTCGCTCGGATCCGAACGCCACACGCCCTCTAGTTCCCTCTTCTTTCGCTTCAACGCTGCCAGCTCCTCAGTAAACCAAGGGGCTGGTTTTGTTCGGCTACTTGAGAGGGGACGTTCTGGAGCGATCGTGTCTATTGCCCTAGTCATCTCCCCATTCCAGAGAGCGACCAGGGCATCAACAGGATCACCAACCGAGGTGGCGGGAAATTCCCCAAGAGCCATCAGGAATCCCTCCGGATCCATAAGCCTCCTGGGGCGGACCAATTTAATAGGTCCTCCACCTCTGCGGAGGTTAGGGGGTGCAGTAAGTCTAAAGCTGACCAGGTGGTGGTCGGTCCATGGCAACGGAGAGATGGATAACTCCTCAACACCGCCACCTTCCTCCCATCCCTGACAGAAAACCAAGTCCAATGTATGTCCAGCACTGTGGGTGGGGCCAGATACTTGTTGGAACAGCCCCATGGTCGCCATGGTAGACATGAAGTCCTGAGCCGCTCCCGTTAGGGCAGCCTCGGCGTGGACATTGAAGTCCCCCAGCACAAGCAGCCGTTGGGACTCCAATGCCAGGTCCGAGACCACCCCCGCTAGCTCAGTCAGGGAGTCTGTAGTGCAGCGAGGTGGGCAGTACACTAACAGAATCCCTAATCTGTCCCGGTCACCCACCCTCAGGTGGACGCATTCAAAATTTGTTGACTGCGGGATGGGGGCCCTGGTCAGAAGAAATGGAATCTCTATAGACTACTGCAACCCCGCCTCCCCGCCCTCCGGATCTCGGTTGGTGCTGCACAGAGAACCCGGGTGGACAAAGCTGGGTTCAAATTTACACCTCCCGCTTCGTCCAGCCAGGTCTCTGTGATGCACGCCAGATCTGCCCGTTCATCCAGGATTAAATCTTGGATGAAAGTTGTTTTACCATTGACAGATCTGGCGTTCAACAGCACCACCTTCAACCCAGAGGGACCGCCATCCTGGTTACACCAACTTACCGTATCAGGAGACCGCTTTGGGATTACTAATGTTGTTCCACGTTCCCTAGGCCGAATTAAAGGTCTCCCTTTCCCGTATCTCCCCCTCCCCACCACGACTTCTATGGGGGCTCCCCGGTTAATGGAAGCCTCTCCCTCCTCCATGACGCCTTTAACAGTCGTGATAACAACCCATAATTCATTATTGACTGTTTGATATACTACAGCTTCAGATTGCCATGGCTTCGTCTTCCAGTTGTTTCTTGTTCCTATTATGTTATACTCATGTCCTTCTGGGCTGCTCCTTTCTCTTTCTCCACCAAAAACAATTAGCAGCCCAATTAGCACTTGCCAAGGAATAAATAGTAACATGGATAATAGCTGTAACCACAGTCGAGAGTTCGTTGGAGCTCTTAAAGTGCAAAAACAATTATCTCAACATACGCATACACAACAACACGATGGTATGAACAATTAAATAAGCGGCTAGTTAGTTAGCTCTAAAGTGCTAAATGAAGTGCGTCATGGAGGGTTGGATCAACGCTACTAGGATTAAGTCGATTAAAGTGCTAAGGATAGTTAAAGTGCCACAAAGGTAATAATTAAAGTGCTAATAGAATAAAGTGCTAAAATCACACCAACGATGAGGTACCCCGCCTCACCACCCTAAGGTTGATAAGCACATTTGAAAAAGATGGTTACACAATCAAGATGGTCAACACAATCACAAAAAATCAGCACAATCGCAAAAGGTCAGCACAGATAGAAAATCGACACAATTAAAGACAATGGTATAGTCGGAGATGATCCACATAAATGAAAGGACTGCAAAGTCAAGGTCAACACGTAAAATTGACGACGTTCATCACAGTATATCTAAAAAATTAGAACAGCGAGATGCCCAAAGATGACGATAGTTGGGTCGTAAGGTGACGATAATTGGGACATAAGGTGGTCATAAGATGGTCCGCCCAATCAGGTCTCGAGGTGGTCAGCGCAATCTTCCGGGAGGTGGATTACAGTAGATGATTAACTGGTCAACACACGTCAGGCAGCCTGAGTTGGACAACACAGCATTCTCCACAACAAATTGAACAACACAAACAGTCGGCACAGAAGATGGTTAATTGGTTAATTGGTCAACACACAATTAGGCAGTCTGTGGAGGCCTCCTTGCAGATTGCTGAGTCACACCCCACTGGAGGAGGCCTGGGCTGCTGGCTACTCACAAGGAGTCCTGGGAGCAGGCTGGAGATCTTTATTGCCCCTTCACAGCAAGCACAGCAGACTCAGTCCCTGGCAGGCCTGTGGGCTCAGCTTTATAGATGTAGAGGCCTCCTTGCAGATTGCTGAGTCACACCCCACTGGAGGAGGCCTGGGCTGCTGGCTACTCACAAGGAGTCCTGGGAGCAGGCTGGAGATCTTTATTGCCCCTTCACAGCAAGCACAGCAGACTCAATACAAATTTAATGGAAATGCCTTCATGTCACTGCCTAATTGTATGACTTCAGAGTGAAAAAAAAACATTCAGCCTAGCATTACATTTATTGCAGTAATGAATGATGTTTATGGGGAGGGAGGGGGGGAGTGACAGTTAAGGATCTATCTTTTGTAATTTTCCATGCAAAAGAAATCCACATCATAAGTATCAGTAAGTATCAATTATACAATATCTGTTGATTATTTAAATGTACTGGTCTTTTCATCTTATGTAAGTTTGTATCAGTATTTTCTAGGGAACTTGCATAAGCCTTTTGGAGTTTTTGATGCCTATAATATGAGCAGAACTGATTTCCTGTATAGTCAACTGTAAATTATTATTAACTTCTGTTTCTAGAAAATCATGTGTGAGGACAATAATATAGATCAACTTTCAGTATACACAAGGGAAAAGACTTTGGATTTTGTTCTTTCTCCCTTTCTGCTTTTTGTCTTTTCATCAAAAATCCAGAAAATACCCGTCTCACTGGTCATATCGTATCTCATTTGCTTAGTTGTTCTTTGGTTTCAGAAACCAAAATATTTAAATGTCAGCTTTTTAAATATAACCTTTTCTGAAAATTGTTACAGCCTGAACTGCACTTAATGGGAAGGAAAGCATTTTCATTTCAAAAGACTGAAATAATGTTAATGAAAAGAACTGGAAAAGCAGACCAAATTCATCTTCTCAAAGAGACTTTGAGAGTGACAGCTATAGGTCTTCTCTAATTTGAGTGGAAGAGGATAACTTTCGCGCCAGGATGCCTTGATGAGCATCAGAAGGCCACTTCCTGCTGAGCTTAGAAGTGATTTTTCCTTGTTGGCAAATGTATACTCAGCATATTTTTGGCTTACCAGAATTTATAAAAGATGATGCTTAAAATGATGCATTCAGATTAGAACAGATATGGCATTCATCTTTTTCCAAGTTCTCTTTCTATTACATTTAAGTGAATTCTTATACACTCTTACCTGGGAGTTAAGAATCACCGAGCTCAATAGACCTTACTTCTAAGTAGGCATATACAGCACAATTTGAAGAAGTCACATGTGGCTGCATGAGATGAAAATGTGTGTAATATCTTGCTTAAATATACCCCTTATGCCCCCACCTCTGGGTAAGTTCCCATAGGTCATTTTTCCATTCTTTCCTCTGCTCCCCTTTAAATTTGCTTTACTTTACTCTAAATTTTCCCTTTTAAGTTACTACATTTTGCAGGCTACTACATTTTGCAAAAAGAACCCTCCTTAGGAGAAACCTTTTCCACTGTAAAACAAGAGAGAGATGTTGTTTTAAAGTGAAAGTGATGGTTTTAAAGACATTATTTTCAGTATCACTGAAAGGATAATATTATGGCACTTTGGGTGGAAAGAGTCCCAAAAGTAGTTTTTAGATGCCAATGTGCCTCCCAAGCCCCTGCAATCTCAAAAAATTAATTTCTGACTTGAAATCATTGAACTAAGGTAGAGGAGGAGAAAGGAATCATGGAATACATATAAAAAATCATGTTCCATAAAATAATTAAGAAAGATATGGAGGAACTATTAGGAATAAAAATAGATTAGAACAAGACACATTTTTCCTATACAAAATTGAGGGTGAAGGGGGATCTAAATAATGGGAGGGAATAATGAATTACATGTTAGATGCAATTAAAGCCTCAGTCACTTTAGGCTAGAAAGACCAAAAGAAATGGGACACAAAAACATGGTATAAATATTTAGTGGACTACCTCCTCCAAGACTACATCAGCGAAAGGAAAAGTTACTATAGGATGGGCCAAATCAGAAAGTCATGGGAGGCAAAATGGAAAGGCTTAATTTTACAGAATAAAGGGGAAAGTTAAATTAAACAAGGTTATCCTCATGACTGAACAATCGTAATAAGTACAGCCAAATTTGTAAACTGTTCCCAGGGAGAGGAGGGAGGGCGTAAGAGGGGAAAAGATGTAAACATGTGTTACCAATGGAAAATGTTTTGAATGTTTGTAGAATTTTGTGTAGTACTATACACAATCATTTTGAAAAAGAAAAAAGGAAAGAAGAAAGAAAGGAAAAAAGAACTAAAATTCTCAAATTTAGTTAACACTTAAATGATAACAGGTGATGCTTTCTTCTTGAGAAGATGCCTTTTGTAGACTATTTTCAGGTGTTTTCACACTTTTAATTTGTCTAATTATTCAATGAAGGGTGCATGTGGTTAAATTTCTACCACCATCACTCATTTTAGCAAACATTAATGCAGTCTACCACTTTCCTGCTTCTCGGCAGATGGCTGGACTGGATGGCCCATAAGGTCTCTTCCAACTCTATGGTTCTATGATTCTACTTTGACAGCCAAAGCTCAAAGCTATGAAACTCAGATTGTTAATTTGGCACCAGCATTCTGGCAAACAAGGGTAAAGAACATGTAAAACTACAACTCACATGATCCCATATCTAAGCTTTGGCAGCTAAAGTGGTGCCAAACTAAAATAATTATACAGTGTAGATGCACCATTAGCTGACTGAATCAACGAGAGGAGACCAGCCCTAGATTCTATGTAAATCTCTTCCAAATATTCAAATTGTCCTAGGTTTTATGAAAGTTCTATTACTTATACATTTTCTCCCTATCTCTCTCATTTAGGGGGACATTCAAAGATCAATAATCCGGATAGATTTTGGAGATGGGAGTGCTGTGTCATATGCTAATCTCAGCTCAACAGAAGATGGAATCAAACACATCTACCAGAATGTGGGGATTTTCCGAGTAACAGCACAGGTGGAAAACAGTCTGGGAGCTGACAGTGCTGTCCTGTACTTGCATGTAAATTGTATGTTATTACTGTTAGTATATGAAATATTGTTCTTTTTCATATGGTAAAGTTTCTGAAAGTTGATAAATCTTGCTGACAGCAGAAGTAGCTAGTTTTTATCTTAAACCAATTGTATGAAAAACTGGGTTCCCTCTACTGAGCTGATATAACTTAGTACTCCTCTACATTGATAACTCAGAGGAAAAAGAATTAGGTGTATATATATACACACACACACGCGCGCACACACACAGAGTCTACTTCTGCCTTTCTGTCAGCACCTCATGTACTGAAGAAGGCCAACACATTTGCAGAAAATTCACTCTGTTTTTAACAAAAATGATTTTTTTCAGGCAGCCCTATTTTTTTGTACACTTGAAATTTCACCAAAAAAAATCCACAGCCATGTAAAATCTTGCAGAATGTTAACCCTTTCTCTGCTCCGATGTATTGATATGCATCACCACATGGGCCATCTAGTTCCACTCCCTGCCATGCAGGAAAAGCACAATCAAATTACTCCTGACAGGTGGCCATCCAGCCATTGTTTAAAAGCCTCCAAAGAAGGAGCTTCCACCACACTCAGAGGCAAAGAGTTCCACTGTTGAATAGCTCTTACAGTCAGAAGGTTCTTCCTAATGTTCAAGTAGAATCTCCTTTCCTGTAATTTGAACTTCAGACACTTTGAGTCTATACATCACAGGAATCCCTTTACCTATAACAAACCGCTTATAAACTGAGAAACAGAACTGTTCACATGCTGGTTTGCTGTGTATCTTACATGAGAATATCCTCATGTAAGGGAATTTCAGGTTTTCATTCTGCCCTCTTTCACCATCCTCCTGCCTCCATATACTGCAAATAACTCTTGGGGTCTCTGTAAATTATGATCAGTCTTCATCTGGCTATGGAGATGTAAACAGATGCTTTCCTCATCCTAGTTACCCTCTGCAGGAATAGAGTGGCTATTGAGAAATTTGAATTACACTGTAAGGATGTCTTGTTAGGATTTTTTTTGCAAATAACCAAAAAAGAAAAGCTTTCATAGACATAAAACTGATTTACATCTGCTTTTGTCACTAACAGGCTTCCAGCCATTGTGTGGAATCCATCTGGCATACTACACTAGCAGTTGCATTTTTTTTACAGGGTCACATAGTGTGGCTGAGGAAAGGCAGATAAAATGTGCTGGCTCTGACTAATTTATTTCTCCAATGGCTTACTTCTTCACAACTGCTGCATTTGCCACTTTTCCCTCCTGCACCATCCACTATATGCGAGGATTTGCACCAACAGGATTCTAGTCACTCTGTGTTAGTGCAGCTCTTCCCAACCACTGTAGAAAGCTCAGGGTTTGCCTCTACCCTCAAATCAGAAGGCTAAGTTAATGGAAGGAGGAGAGAAATGTGTGTTTAGTGCCTTTTAGTTGCTGGAAATGCAGATGATTCATAACCCTCCTAGCTCCATTCCAGTGAAATAAGGTAAAAAAAATGTGCTTGCCTTGGGGATGGTATTACATTTCTATCATTGCTGGAAAGAGAGGGTTGTTGCTTTAAGTAAATGAATTCAAAAATAGAGTTCCAACTAATCCCGCTGATAAGAGTCCAGTAGTGTTAGGTTGGACAGCAGACCCTTATATTTTGATTGTTCTACCTATGTGGATAGAAATTCTATCTTGTATTTAGTGATGGAATTTATATATCACTAAATTACAGGCAGTCCCCGAGTTACAAACATTAAATTTTCAAATGATTCATAGTTAAGAATGGGAGTGAGACAACAGGAAGTGAGAGAAATCTACCCCTAGGAAGGGAAATGCATTCCTCAAAAAGTTATAATGTGGAAAAGGTGACACAACTGAAGTTTTATCAGCAATCTTTGTTTCTACAACAAGCCAAGTTTTTCAAAATCCAATTATCACAGGACAGAAAATGAGGCAAAACCTTCTGAACAGGGGCACAGGCAGAAAAACAAACATCACGGGGGTCTTAACTCTTCTCTATGCTATACAAATTAATATATAGATAATGGTATATCAATATATTTTTAGTTTAGGACATATACATACACAAACACAACAGTTACAATTCCCACCATCACCACGAGGATTACTTTCTTTCACATGTTAATCGTTTTTGGAGGCAATCCTTCTAGATTTACATACTGTATAATATTTCTATTCTATTTCTTATGGCTTGATCTCTAGACTTATTCATAATATAGTTGACCTCGTTCCATCTTTCTTCAACTTCTTGCATTCCATTTTCATTACATTTTTAATCATTTAGCTTTACATCCATAATTTCAAATTTCATTTGGTCCACTATATACTGATACCATTTATTTACTGTCCAGTTTGATTTGTCTTTCCATCCACATACTATCACTGCTTGTGTGCACTCAATTGTTGCTTCCTTTATTTCCCTGTAATTTCCCATTCCCTCTCTTTGTACTAAGACCACAATTTATTTTGTTATAATCAGATCCTAATACTTGGTTTGACACATTTTGTATTGTCTGCCAGAAATATTGTACCCGTTCTCATTCCCACATCATATGCATAAACCACCCTTTCTTTTGACATCCATCCCCTTTTTATAGTAGTACGGTAATTGACAGTGTGTACAATACCACTTACGTCATATTTTCATCCTCATTTCTATTACTATCTTACTCTTGTATTCCTTGTCATCCCTATTGTCTCTACTACTTGTCTCATATCTTGTTCTGTAACTCCATTCCACTCCATATAATGGTATATATAATGGTATATATTTGGATGAACACTTTTAAAATGTGCCTGTTCCGACTTAAAAACAAATTAAACGTAAGAACAAACCTACAGATCGTATCTTCTTCATAACTTGGGGACAAGTAGTGCATTGTTTGATAATTATGTTAAACCTATTTACACCAATAATTGGATATAGTAGCAGCAAAACAACCCAAGTAATAGACCATTAAAGGAATAAACCAATAAAATAAAATTGCCTGCTCTGCCTCTTATTCATTCCCATCTTTATGGAAATGGCAGAGAGACAACAGCCAGACCTTGTTTGTAAAGGTCACTAGAAACTAACAGGGAAGCGGTAATATCCCCAGAGAGGTTTGGAGGGTCTCAGATAACAGGGCCATGCAGTCTGCTGCAATTTGACAGGAAATGATTCCGCAGGGGCCCATCACCATAGTATGCCACTGTGTTTGCAAGCTAATGAGGCCACTTGATAGAAGAGCGGTTTGCTTATGCAGGCCACAAGTGGCAATGAAAAAGTCATTGTTTCGGTCACTCCCCTCTTGTAAAGCATTCCCACACCACGACCACATAGAACTGAAAACAATATTGGAATAGAGTGCAAAGAAGGAAAGAGGTTACTTGGCACTCCCAGAAGCATCACAAACATTATAGCCTGTGGTGTTTCCAGAAATCAATACACAAGCAGTCTTCATATTTGTAGATTCTATAGCATTTGTCATGGGAACTATGTCAGCTCTGGGTATAATAAGCCTGCAGATCCCATCAATCCTACCCAATTTAGTCAGTACTCGGGGATTATGAGAAGTGCAGTTCAATGGCGCCTGAAAGCATTGTAGATACCCTTGGTGTGAGTAGGGTAATTATATTTTCCTTTTATGCCTGTTTATGCAAAAGATCATAGTGGGTGCCCAGGATAGCTTTTTCATCTAATCAAATTAGGTTTACAGAAGTAAAAAAAATGATTGTGGCCCTTTAAGGATTAGCTTTTATTTTATATTTAAGAATACAAAAGTTAATTACAAATAAAACTTCAACCAGTTAATGCTTTCATCTAAGATTAGTCTGGATTTGGGTAAAAATTGCATTGCTCTCGTGCTTTTATTAAACTGTAGGTCCTCTGTTCCTCATCACTGTCTCTGCTGCTGAGAGGCACAGTCCAACAACCATATATGGGGTTCTGTAGCTTTAAAAAGTAAGAAACCAGTGCACCAATTTTCCTAGAATTTTATTTTCTCTGAGAGCATTCCAGAGTTTGGAAGTATTCTATTTGTTGGACTAAAACTGTTTGGGTCCTGCTTACCTTCATGTCTGCATTTCCTTGTATGAACCAGTGCAAGTGTTAAGATCTGCCAGGGAGACCCTTCTCTTGCTCCCACCTCTGTCACAAGCATGGTTGGTTGGGGCAAGAGAGAAGCCTTCTCAGTGGTGGCCCCTGGCCTTGGAATTCTCTTCCCAGGGAGATTAGATTAGCCTCCACCCTGTCCACCTTCTAGAAAGATCTGAAGACTTGGATGTTTCAATGTGCCTTCAAAGAATAGTTCAGTTACCGATCAAGTTCTGCCTAGCCCTCTTCTTTTAGTAGGATCTTCAGCATTTTATGGAGCTCCCAGTGGCGCAGTGGGTTAAACCCCTGTGCCGGCAGGACTGAAGACCAACAGGTCGCAGGTTCGAATCTGGGGAGAGGCGGATGAGTTCCCTCTGTCAGCTCAAGCTCCCCATGTGGGGACATGAGAGAAGCCTCCCACAAGGATGATAAAACATCAAATCATCCAGGCATCCCCTGGGCAACATCATTGCAGACGGCCAATTCTGTCACACCAGAAGCAACTTGCAGTTTCTCAGGTTGCTCCTGACACGACCAAAAAAAGCATTTTATTTCCAGCCCTGGGCCCAACAGCCTGCACTAGCCCTTGTCCTACCCTGTTAGCCCCACATCTCCACATGCCCACATTTCCAGACTATTGGTTGTTTGTTGCTTAGTTTATGTTTCATGGTGTTTTGTATTTATTGCTTTTATGGTGTTATTAACTGTTTCTTATATGTTATAACTGCGTATTTTGTAACCTTGTTTATATTGGGCTTGGTCCCCATGTAAGCTGCCCCGAGTCCCTTTGGGGAGATGGAGGTGGGATAGAAGAATAAGGTTGTTATAATTATTATTTTACTGACACAAAAACATAGTATATCACAGCAAATGAGATATATATGCTGGATTTCATATCACAAAATCACAAGTCAAACACTTCCCAAGCGTCTAGGACTGTGTGATATTACTACTACTACTACTACTACTACTACTACTATTATATTCAAATCATTTGTGCATTGAGCTAAATATTATCTGGTCTACAATTCAAACCTACTTACTAGCTGAGGCTTTTTACTGTAGAAGTCTTTCACATTGTACATGCTGGAACCAAGCAACTCCGGGAGGTATTACTGGAAATCCTACCTGTGCCAAGCACAGCCAATTTTCTCTACAGCCAATAGTCCAGGTGTAGGTAGAGCAACTTTTGTGTTTTACACTTCTCCTGAAGAATTGGGAAGGTGAGGACTAGGTATGGGCTGGTGGATTAGGATAGTCACCTCTTCCAGGCAGATTTCTCTGGTTTCACCCCTGAATTATGAAACTTGTGTTTCCTTCCTCCAATGAAATGTGTGTATATTTGTATGAATATTCCCTAATTTGTGCTTGTATTTATTTATTTTATTTATTAATTACATTATTTCTATCACACCTTTCTCCCACTCTCTGGACACAAGTCAGCTAATAACAATATCTGCATTATTTACTAAGGCAGAGCAAAATTATCGTTAGTCCTTGTAAGTTCTTAAGTTAGTGGGAAAAAATTTCAATAATTGGCCCCCAAAATTGCAAAAGATTGTCCATTCTCATAAAAAAAATCTGCATACTTTTCTTGTTATTTTTGTCATGTAGATAGAAGTACAACACCACCTGCTGTTCTAAAGCTGCATTTTTAAGCTTTGAATTCTCTACTTCAGGTCTGATTGGTTAGGAGCAATTAAAGTAGACCCTTTGCATAATTTTTGAATGGTGACATTGAATTCGATTGGACTGGTTGGAACTGCTAAAGGGATTTAAGGACAAAAATAATCAGTTTGGGAAACGATTGGATCCTTAAAGAAGATATATGTATGATTTCAGAATGTACTGAAATAACATCTAAAGACTGCATGGCAGCAGAAGGGATATAATTCTCTGTGAAAAAGTATTGAATTATTTTACCATGAGAAAATCTTAGCAAACCAGCTGTAAGGAAGCATTAAACCCAAAGCAGAAAGGAGACTGAGGTGTGCCAGGAAAAAGAAGCCCAGGGAGGATAGCTCCAGGAGGTCATCACTCTTCCTTACCTGGAAGTGGGAAACCCTCCTTAAAATGCCTTGGAAAGAGTGTATGGTGTGACACCTCTCCTCTAGAATAGAATAGAAACAACTTTAAGAAGCCTCCTTAAAGCATACACACCTGCCTGCAGCACATCTCCTCTAGAGTAGAAACAGGTAAGAAGTCTCCTTAAAGCATGCACACCTGTCTGAAGTGCCTCTCTTCTAAAGTAGAAGCAGCTTTAAGAAGCCTCCTTTAAATGCCTTGGAAAGAGTGCATGGCATGGTGCAGGCCCAGGAGAGAAAGCATGTGTGCCTTCTTATAGCACCTCTCCTCTATAGTAGAATTAGCTTAAATGCCTAAAATGATGGGAAGGGGAGTCTGGGAAGCCCCTCCAAGGACTAGATAGAAAATGAATCTTTTGGCACCCTAGAGCGAAAACAGGTATCTGCTCATTCGAATTTGGGAGGCTCCCAAAAAATGGATGAAGGCCCCCACCAAAATCTAAGACACCAAAACACTGAAAAGGATAACCATTTACCTGGAATGCACAAGCCTATTTACAACTGGATTTTTAAAAAAATGTCCCAAATGTATACACCCGTAACAGGATTAAAGATTTCAATAATGTTGAAGCGGAGCCCTACACCATCCACAGTGAGTCCATTTTCCTCTGCAGACGGGAAGTGATACAACTTCACTTCCTCTTCCCATTTTTAAAGGGACTGTAGAAGAAAGATTTTCGACTTGCTGTAGCAAGGTGTAGTTTGAAAAGGTGTCTGGGGTAGGAAAACTATCTTCTGGCTCTCACATCTGAATCCTTTCAGCTGCTTCTTGATGTTTCTTTCTGCCAATTTGAAGAGTTCTGTTTTATTCTTCATTGTACCTTTTTGCTATCAAAATAAATGATAGCAAATGAAAAGCTGAAGGCTGTACAGAGAAGTCTAAATTAATTCCCCCCAGGCATTGCAAATTATGTGTGCCTAAGAAATAAGAGGCAAAGCGTGTGGAGTAATTAAATAGGTGTTTGGAACTGATATTTTTCTAAAATAAATACTCATTGGTTGACTTGGAAAATCCTTCCTAACAATGTATTGAGATTACTTTGCTCATATTATGCAGCCTTATATTGAGTCAAATCAATTGTGTAACTAGACAGCATGCTTTCCTCGGACTAGCAGCTGCTATATGAATTCTCATGCTCTCATGTCCTGCTTAATATCTTGTAGCCAGGATCTGAGTTTTGAGTCCTTCTCAAAACAAATTGTGTTCTGTCATTATACTGAGAATTGCTTTAGCGAGAGCTATCTGTACTTGGAAAAGTAAATGTATCATCATTGACATAGGTGTTCTTTTCATTACGGTTAGGAATCCTTTGCTCATTTCAGCTGCCTATGAAATACAGTCTTATGAACAGAATACTTGTGGGAGATCATGCTCATTTTCCTGCACTGAGTTTGCCATTCCTCTTGGAAACCCATGCATTCCCAAGTTTCTTTGTTTTTCCACCTAAATCTCAGACTGTTTTAATACATCATCACCAGAGTGTATATTTGTAGAGTTGATGTGTTTTTGTCCTGAAATACTTCAAGCATGGCTTCGAAACTGGGTTATAAGGTGAAATCAATGACTTGACTTGAATGATTAGAAATGAAACCACTTTTTTACTGCATGCAGCTCAGTCTAAATATGTTTAGGGCAGTTTCATGCAGGACAATATTCTTAAACGAAAGTGATTTCTATGTCTTAATCTCTTCTATCAGCATTGATCTTGCATTTTCCAGGTTGGGTTTGATTTCCCTGTATGAATACATTGCAAAATGAAATACATTATAGGTGTGACAGTCTTTTTAAAAATCCAGTATGGTAGTCATTTATGTTCTATATTCCCTTTTTTTAAAGCAGTAAATCCAGTAAATTTTTACTCCCAGATAAGCATTAGGCCTGGGCGGTTTCGTTCGTTAATTTTGTAATTCGTTAAATATTCGTTATTTTTAGCAATTACAAAACGATTACAAAACATATTTTCAAACCCGGAAGTGTTTTTAAATATCGAAACGGCATCCTCCATCTTTTTTACGGGCTTCCGACCGTTTCGGAAATGACGTTTTAGGGATGGAGGATGCTGGGTGCGCTGGGAGCCAATCCTGCGCTCCCAAGCACCGTGGATGATTGTGATTGGGTGGGCTGCCCTTTAAAAGCGGCTCCGCGTGGCCGCATTGCTCATTGCTGGGGAAGGCGAGGAGACGGGAGGTTCGGGAGGGAGGCTTGGCTTGCATTCATTCATTGCTTGCATTGAATGCTCCCTGGGCTGGGAGCAGCGGGGAGGCTTTGCCGTTCGCTCCACAACAGGGCAAGCATTTTTAAATATTTCTGAAAAATATCTTTCTTTTATTCTTAAAAAAATTCAAAAAATATTCTAAAAAAAGAAAAGACCCTTGTGTGCCTGTGTGTGTGAGTTTGTCCCTGTCCTGTGGCTGTGTTCGCTCCACAACAGGGCAAGCATTGTTAATTTTCCATTTTTAAATATTTCTGATAAATATTTCTTTTCTAACGAATCGATTCGTTGCCACCTTAACGAATCGACCCCCATCTTCATAACGAAGTTTCAGAGGTGATTTGCGCATGCGCGGGGGGTCCGCCATCTTAACGAATCGATTCGTTAATATTAACGAAATTTCGTAAATACTGAACTTTTTTAAAGGAAAGTTTTGTAATTATTTTAAATATCGAAATGCAAAAACCCCCCAAATACAAATCGATTTTAGAAACAAATTTTTGCGTTGTTACCCAGGCCTAATAAGCATGTGTTGACTTGCTGTCAAAGGTGAAATAGGATTGTGTAGAAAGTAATTCATGCTCCTGACTGAAACCCAGGAGAGGGAATTTGAATTAATTAATGTGTAAAAGTCATAGACACGTTTTCTCTATTCTTTGTTTCCAGGCCCTTTGGAACATGTCCATTTATCACTGCCATTTGTAACAACAAAGAACAAAGAAATTAATGCCACAGCAGTTCTGTGGCCCAGTCAAGTTGGAACACTAACTTACATCTGGTGGTTTGGAAACAACACTGAGGTCTGTATTTTGTGCAGCAAAATGAGTTGCTAAATCATGAGATAATGTCATTATCATGGGGGTTGTGAATTCTCTTGAGGAACAGATTCCAGGACCCTGAAAATCACAGAGAGCAATTCTCAGCACTTTAATGTTGCAAATCAGCTTTTTTACAAACTTGCTTAACTGCCACTGTTTAGGCCTCATTTGCATTTTATGCAAATCACTAATCCCCCATTGGACACGGCTGAAGAGATCAAACTGAGAAAACTGCAGAGTGACAGATTATCAAAGATTCCAAGATTAGAACCCCCCTCCCCCAATTTTGTTATGTAAAATGCAGATTTTTCTCCCTTCCTTTAAAGCTTATGTGACATATCCAGACTTCAGACATAAAGTTCTGTGTTTGGTTGATGTTCTCTCTGCAGTGCTGTAGGGCTTGAAGCTGTATTTTTTCATCTGCAGGACTGATAAAAGGAAATGTTTGCCAACAGTCCCAACACCTACCCTTTTATAATGCTAAACCTATATGAAACTCTCATTTGTGCTGTAAAGCTGGAAGAATGCCTCATTATGACACACTAGGAGAAGTGAAATGACATGTAGTACATTTCCCTGCCTACGGACACTGTTTCACTTATAGCATGCCAAAATAAAGCCATTATCTGCTTTTTCCTTTTCCTCAGTCGTTTGTTGGAAAAATCTTAACCAATGCTTGATAAAGTGTTCTTTTTGTTTGTGGATGTACTTCTTTAAAATTCCTTTACATTTTCAGCAGGGATTTAGGAGAACTGACATGGCTGAAGATATCTTCGTATATCAAGGGCTCATGCTATGGGTCACACAGATCTACAGAGTTTTCCACTTGTGTTAATGTAAACTCTTCTTTGTCAGTGAATGGTGGGAATAATGGTATCTCTACAGATTGCTATCTCTGAATAATAATAAAAATTGTGGTGAAGATCATGACACAAAACAGCTGTGATCATATAATGACATGATAGAATGTGAATCTTCAACAGACATACCACCCACCCACCCACCCCTTATCTCCATGTGCAACTAACTTCTCAACTACTGGAAATTGCTTCCTCAATGACTAAAGTGCCTTCCACTCAGCTGAATAAAATCCCACATTCTCTGCTTTGAACTGGGATATATGGCAGAGTGGACTCAGGGCCTTCCACACAGCCCTATATCCCAGAATATCAATGCAGAAAATCCCACAATATCTGCTTTGAACTGGGTTATCTGAGTCCACACTCAGATAATGTAGGGTTTTCTGCCTTGATATTCTGGGATATAGGGCTGTGTGGAAGGGCTCTCAGATAACCCATTTCAAACAGATATTGAGGGGGTCCTTCTACACAGTCCTATATCCCAGAATATCGAGGCAGAAAATCCCACATTATCTAAATGTGGACTCAAATAACCCAATTCAAAGCAGACATTGTGGGATTTTGTGCCTTGATATTCTGGGATATAGGATATAGGGCTGTGTGGAAGAGCCCTGAGTGGATGACGGTGGGTGTAATTGCCTAGGCAGCATGCACATACCTTTCTGCAACTGGAAACAGAAAGAGGATGCCATTGCATGGATCTCTGGAAGGCCTTGAAGGATGGCACTTTTGTGCTCCTAGTCAGACACTGTTTGTGGACTCCCACCTTCTTCCAGTCAATAGATGGCAATGAAAGGTTCACTCTAGGAGAAGGCACATTGGTTGTGAGGGAAGCTACACTATAGTATGCACTCTAAGGATATTGATGGGCCAATCATTTATTTTCCATTGCACATGGTGATGTTGAGCATCACACATTCATATCAGCTTTTAATGATGTGTACTACTGGCATAATAACATCATAATGACTGCAATGCAATACTTGGATCATCAAACTGCATAGTAGCAGTTTTAAATGCCCCTCCATATTTGTCTGTGAACCAATTGTTTTATACAGATAAGAATCTCCTAGTGTCAATGAGGATACATTGATTAAATATCATTCCTTATCTCCTCACCATTTTTTTTGCTTTTACATCAATATGCAATTAATCTTAACTTTATTAATCTTAACTTTATTAACTTAACACCCACTAAAAGGTGATTGTTAAACTGTTGATGTTTAAGAATGGCACAACTGGGAGCACCACAAAAAATACTTTTCTGTGCTAGATTCCTGCTTATTTTAAGGCTAATTAATTTAATGTAGTTTTGACACCCAATATGGTATAGTGCTTTGAGTGCACAACTATGACTCTAGACACAAGGGTTTGAATCCATGCTTGGTTGTGAAAACCTACTGTGCAAGCCTGGGCAAATCACCATTAGTGGAAAAGAAATTTAAAACAGACAACAACAACAAATGCCATTTTTCATTTGATTGGTGATGAGTATGTGACTACTTTAAGATAAATCTCTTAAAGATTAATAATAAATTTGCTACTTTAATATGAATATAGTGCAAGTTTTGTATATAATGCTTGTTTGTTATAGTGTTTGTGGAAAACTGGATCACTGTTGGATTTCCATTTGGAGGCTTAGTGGTCGTGGAATTGCATCAATCTTCCAAACTTCCCAGTTAGATATTGCATGCATTAGAATGCCAGAACACTCTGTATCAAGATTGGGAGCACCACGGAAAAGTATTCCCAAGATGCTGAATTATTTTAAACTTTCCACATGAAGCTTCCTTTTGAATATTTCAGAGGAAGGTTTTTATTGATACTCACAGCTGAACATATTGTATCTAGAATCGGCAAAGAGTAGTCTCCCAAGTGGATATTCATCCTTAGAAATGTGCCTTCACCTATATAAACTAGCTTTCTTTAGTCACTTGGTATTCCATTCTTCTTTATTTAGCTTCTTTTTGTTTTGTGCATAGTATGGTCCAGATTATGAGCAGAATATCCACAGGATTGGCATCTGTGGTTTCATTTATCTACATTTGACAAAATGTTGTTTTGTTTAATCCACATTTAACAAAATATGTTTTTCTATGTGCTCCAACATGATTGTATTGTAGTATTAGGCCAGAAGTGCTTCATTTAAATAGGGTCACGATTATCCACAGTTCCATGTATCCATACTAAATTTATGATTGTGGCTACAGGGGTTGTAAGGATTTGCTGGATAAATATTTTACCATTAATTACTCTACTGATTAATTCCAAATTGGCTAATCATGATGCTACGTTTTACCTCCAGCAACAAAGCATATCTCTCAGAACCCTTCCACACAGCTGAATAAAATCTCATATTTTCTGCATTGAACTGGAATATATGACACTGTGGATTCATAATCCAGATCAAAGCAGATTTTCTGCCTTGATCTTCTGGGTTATATAACTTTGTGGAAGGGCCCTCAGTAACATAAGTAAGAGGAACTCTCTTGTATTTGGGTCCTGCTTGTGAGGATGGAATAGTATATAAGCAGGCTTTTGGTCTGAAACATCAGAGTTATTTCTTATAGTTCTTATAGTATGGTTAGGGAAAATGACGTCTTTTGTCTCCTCTCAAGTTTGGCCATGCTGCACACTTTTAATTCTAGTGTATTTTCATTAATGGTTTTAGGGGAAGAACTTTTGATTTCATTCTCTGTGCATACAACAATAAGGCTAGTAACATCAATGAGTACTTATCTCATTCCTCTTGTGTTTTTTGAAGCCACTGATTACTCTAGAAGGGAACATCGCATTTACTTTCTCTGCAGAAGGAATGAACACCATCACAGTGCAGGTTTCTGCAGGAAACGCAATTCTGCAAGACACCAAAACAATTGCAGTGTATGGTGAGCCCTATCTTGTTCACTGTTTTTGATTTATTCTTTCCCCCTGTTCCCTGTTAAATTTCATGGAAAGTATAGCCAGTAGGTTGGTCATAGATGTCTAGCATTTAATGAGCTGATTTGTTAACAAGACTTCAGATTTATTTAAATTAAGAGTTTATTCTGAGTCAACACAAGGTTGAAACTGATTTTACTTAGAAGCATCAGTAAGGAAATCACAAGCAGCAGTTCTCGTGACACTGGTTTGTATTTGGATTAAGTGGCACCATTGTCAAAATAGGGCTGGAAGGAAGCAGCCAGTAATTAAAGCCATGCAAATACAAACAAGGATTTATTAATTTCATCATCAAGGCTTCTGCAGGTTGGTCTCACTTTCTGGTCGAGGTTGTAATTAGTGGCAATGATTAAAATCCTAAAGCCATTGTGATATATTTTTCAGATGATTCTTTTTCCATGCTGTGTGTCCAATCTTTGTCAAAATGGATAGATAGGCAGATGAGCACCACTGTGCACAAACTATTAATGTGAAAAGATTTACACTAAACCCTATTAAGAGTGTAGTTTATTTGTTACAGGTGAATATCTGCTTTCACAGTGCTGTGAAAGTCCTGGTTGCCTAATTGTGTGCTATTCTCACCAGAAACTTTAGGCCATGTCTGCATGAGCCAAGTAAAACAAGCACACTTCAAACCTTGTGTGAACAGTCCTTCATGACATATAGTCAGTTTAACAGAAGAAGCACTGCTTCCAACTATTAAGGCAGCACAAGAAGAACCTCTAGTTTCTCTGGAACTTCAAGGAAACTCGGGAGTGACCCAGGTGTTTTAGACATGTTGACAGCTGGATCAGGCTGATCCCGTGTCCATGTATGAAAAAGGCACATGGGCCAGAAGCAAATCCAAGCAGCTCCTTAGCAGAGTCTTCTTGGCAACATTACTTCTGGTGATCACATGGTTGGGTGTCCTGTTGTAACTTTAATTGAAGTGCTATTGCCAGCAAGGCTTTGCCTGGAAACTGTTCTTGATTGACAAAATGGCAGCAATTGCAGTGGCCTGCAGAGGGACAGGGCACTGGTGCCAATGTGCTATTGGCTATCCGGTCTCCAAATGACTTTATGGTGGATTTGAATTATTTTGACTGGTGCAGACACAGCTTTTTTGTATGATTGAGTGTACATACTGTGTGTACAGTGTGTATACAGTGATGATGGTGATTTATGAAAGATTGGGTTCTGGATTCTATCCTCTCACATGCAATGTTATCGAATGCACATATTGATTATTAAGCTGAGCACATTTTAGAAGTTCAGTATCCAAGTCCTAGGAATGCTCACACATTACAGTCCTGTCATTCTTTTTTCTCCTAGAGCAATTCCGATCGTTAAGGTTATCCTTCTCCCCAAACCTGGATGAATATAATCCAGACATTCCTGAATGGAGACGGGATGTTAGTCGCATCATCAAGACAGCTCTAGTTGAGGTAAGTGGGAAAAATAAATTGTTACTTATAAATGATATGATCTTCCAAAATTAATGTAAGGAATAGACTGTAATTTAATTAAGGGGAAATATACACATATTCTTCAAGTTTCTTTCCTTGCTAGTTCTTTTTTTGTTATCGTACATCACTGTCATTCTCTTTCTCAGAATGCTGAATATGTGAAATTGAAATTTAATTTAATTTCTGGCCAGAGAATAACAGTTTAAATTTACAATTGAGCTTCTCCATCTCTTTTCCTTTTCATTTTGTTGCCCAAATCTAGCCTTTTAGCCATATCTGCTGTAACATTAAGCCAGTAGCAGCCAGGCTTTCTGGATCACTGCAGGTTGCCCCTTTGCTTTATTTGTGATAATGCAATCCATTAATCACTTCTGCTAAGTTTATTTAGTAGCAGAATATAGCACTAAAAAGGATATGCTTTGGCCATATTTCTTTTGTAGAGTTAATGTTCCAGAACATAGATCCAAGGAAGTCCTGGATTGTTGTGCAAATGACATTCTTGGGGAAGTAATTTCTGTTAGTATCCCTGGTACTAACATAGTACTATCAAATTTGTCGAAACAGAATTTGTCTTGAGATTGAACAGAGTGTGCTTCAATATAATTTGAGTCATCATATTGTGAATTGTTTTGCAAAATGTGTTTTCATCTTTACAAGACATAAATGACTTGTCCCTGCCTTAAGTTAAGTAATATTTCCAGATATCACAGAGAAATCAATATTTAGGGCACAAAGAGTATATAAAATATAGACTGCCATGGATCCATGATGAATGTCTGCCTCAGAAAGTTATACTATGGCTAGTACTCAGATTTCCAAATGTGGCAAAACTGATAAGGGTCCTGTAAATCCAAGTGAATCTGTGATATTTTCAAGTAGGATCTTTCTCAACAGAAAATCCTTTCATTAAATAGACCCACCAACTGGCCTATACCAGGCTTTGTTAAACGGAGTTTTGATGGCTTGCAGGTCCTATATGGGCTCAAGAAAATTGTGTACATTGAAATATACCCTACAAAATACACATCCTCTTATATGCATAGATGTTTATACCATTAGGGTATTCTGTCTCTACTAATTATATCATAATCTATCATAACCAGGAGGGCCTCAAAGAAATACATTTCACCTGTCTTTTTTCTGACACTTATAATGATGATAACTGGAAAAACATGTAGCATGTGTGAGAAGTCCTGTGTTAGATTTCCTTTCAACACTGATGTCACGCAGAAATCTACCTGAAACTTAAACAAAATTCTGAATTCAGTGGGAATGTGGCCTGCTAACATTTATTCAATAGCTTTTATTTTATTTGGGACTAACATTGGATTTAGGTTTGAATTTCCTAAGCACTTGAATAAACTTGACATAAAAGATCAGACTTTGCTCAATGGCTGCCCAAAATTCCTCTCTTAGTCCAGAAGTAGTTGGTTTCTGTTGTGGTGCCACCAAAGAGGTAATTGTAAATTTGTCAATGTATCTGTACCAATTTCCTCATTTTGAAAAGTGCAATTGGCTTGCATTGTGTTCATCAGATCATTTGCTTTGTCAAGACCTCCACTATAACCATAGTACTTATTAAAACACTATTTTTTAAAAAAATGGAAAATGTAGCAATTCAAATAATTTTATACTGCAGTACATGAAGTGACTGGCTTGACCTTGAAGGAGCTGGGGGTGGTGATGGCCAACAGGAAGTTCTAGTGTGGGCTGGTCCATGAGGTCATGAAGTCGGAAGCAACTGAACGAATAAACAACAAATATTTCAGCTTGAAAAAAAAGAAATCAATTTACTTTTCTTCTTCAGATTGGTTATTAGTCTATAATGGGAAGTATGCCATTCACATCAGTCAAACTGCTCCACCCAGTTAATCTGATTTAATCCCAGGGATGAAGTGGTCATATACCCCATTTGTAAAAGAGGTTGCTTATTTAGGAACCAGAGAAAGGATAGCGGTTTTTATTTCTCAGAAGGCAGCAGTTTCTAAATTATTTCAGCCAGGCAGATTTTACTGGTTACTAACAGTTTTCCTTTCTATATCTTAGGCAACAGGTATTCCCAACAAGCATATCTTGGTGGCAATCCTGCCAGGTTTACCTACATCAGCTGAGCTCTTTATATTGCCTTATAATGACGCAACAGGAGGAAATAGACAAACAGCAGAAGATCTCCAGCAGGTTTCTGTTCCTTTACTTTAGTAATATTGGGAGAGATTGTATTTTGTATATATAACAAAATCAATTATGGCAAACAGTGAGAATTTTAGGCAGAAAGTGAAAATAACACACATTTCATATTAACTTTTGTTTCATTTGTAGAACTGTTTACTTGAATGATAAGTTTCTTAAAGCTGTGAAAAATACAGCCCATCTGCTGATTATATTCTTGTGCACTTTCATACAACTAAATTGAAATTGAGATTTGTGCAACTGGGTTGACAGAAATAATTTTGTCTTTCTTTGGACTGGGGACAGTATCAAATGTAGTGAACTGTAGTACAGGGGCAGGCATGTAGCCGGGGGGGAGGGGCTCGGGGGGCTTCAGCCCCCCCCCCCCGAAATTCTCATGGTGGTTCGCGAAAAGGCCTTACTGGTGCATTATTTAAACTGTTATGTTTATTCATATCATGATCTGATCACCATACTCAATATATCCCATATGCATGGGGGTATTGGGGGAATGATACAAAAGGTTTGCTAGGGTAGACCCTCTTTCACTCAGACTCAGCCCCCCCCAAACCAAACTCAGCCCCCCCCGAAATTTTTTTAGCCCCCCCCCGAAACGAAATCCTGGCTACGGGCCTGTACAGGGGGGAAATTTCTGAAAATGGAAAGAAGTCCTTGTAACCACAGAAGGTTTGGATTCAATCAATTCTGTTATAAAATAGGGATCAGCTGTACAGCAACGTCAACAATGCAGATAAGGCTTCCTTATGTATCCATTTATCAAAAGAAGCTCATGCCAAGATGATAACTGGGTGATTTATAGATGCAGATATATTTTTAGACAAATTCCCCACCTTATACTTCTAGTTGCATTCCTTTTGAATAATATTGGATGAAAGTACATACATACCGGGACTGTGGTGCAGCTGGCTGGGTGTCAGCTGCATTAAGAGCACTACTGACAGAAAGGTCATGAGTTCGAAGCCAGCCCAGGTCGGAGTGAGCTTCCGGCCAATTTGTGTAGCTTGTGGTCGACCTTTGCAACCCGAAAGACAGTTGCATCTGTCAAGTAGGAAATTTAGATACCACCTAAGTGCACAAATTTAACAAATTTACGAGGCCATAAAAAATCTGCAGCAAAAGCATGTGGGGAATGGGGAAAGTACTTCATCAGTGTCTCAGATAGACGGTGAAGCAACAGCTCCCCTGGTGGCCAGAAAATTGGAATGTTAAATAGCCTCGAACTGTCTGTCTATATGTGTTGTGTGTCTATGGCATTGAATGTTCGCCATGTATGTGTACATTGTAATCCGCCCTGAGTCCTCTGCGGCGTGAGAAGGGCAGAATATAAATACTGTAGATAAATAAATAATAAATACTTTACACCATTTTAATTGGATTCAGAAGCTCTTTTGGCAATTATAGATGGCACCAAGTGAAATCTGTTTCAGAAAACACTGCTTGGAAATTCATATATAAATTTGTTCGGCATTCTCTAAAACTCCAAAATTTAATCGATTTTCTGGATAAAGCCAGTATTTTTCACTCACTATTTCAAGTTATTAATGCTATTACATTTAGTAATTTTGAAAAATACATTGTAAACTACTTTTTTTTAAGCAAGAAGGCACTTTCATTTATTAAGCTGAATCATCTCTTAAATTTTGACCTATGTTAATCTGTAAGCATTAGTTGATTAGAGTTTTTATTTCTCATGAACTTGATATTTATTTATTTATTTGCTGTATTTGTATGCCACCCTTCTCAACCCCAAAGGGGACTCAGGGCAGTACACAGTGCTCACAGTGCAACAATTCATTGCCATTGATAAAAAACTGTATAAAACATCAAAATTGAACCTCCTCTGATAAAACATTAAACATTATTAAACACATCACATAAAATAGCATCACATATCACACAAAGTCATATCCATTGTCCATAAGCCATCTTGGGTCATTGCACTTTCATCATTCACTTTAACTTTAAATACTCCTGTGATGGGCCGAACGCTTGGTTCCACTGCCTGGTCTTTAGCAACAGTGTTCGAAAGATTTAAAACCAAATTTGAATTGTGTCTTTTTTTTCTAATTTTGATGGCTATATTTCAATGCCTGCAAATTCTATTTTATACCCCAATGGCAAAGCAAAAATTGCCCTCAGTTTCTGGCTTTGTCCTTTTTCTCTGTACATTTTCTCCACATACTTCTAACAAGATTTACTTCCATGCAGACTTCTTCCCCTCGGCACAACTGGAAATTACAGCTGATCCAGCTCACTTGCAGCACTTGGCTATTTATTGAATTCCACAGATTATTATATAGATATTTTCCCTGTGTATTCCCAGGCAGTCTGTGATCAAGTGTTATACCTTTGTGATCTAGTATTATAGCTCTAGCACATTGTCACCAGAAGCCTTTATCAGAAAACAAGAAGAATATAACTGTAAAGAGAGCTTGCAGTATCTTCACCCCATTACAATCTCTGTTTTATAGAAATTAATTCTTTATTTTTGGTTAGGCATGCCCCATAATATTATTTTGGCTTGCCAAGATGCAAAGATCTGCATACAACTTATTTTGTGAAGGGAAACCATATTCACACCTTCTTTTATAATTATCCCCTTGATGCTGGCATTTTGTTCTCAGATACCTAACTGCTCTGAGTACCAGTGACAGAAACACATTTTCTTGACATCTCCAGCAATTAGTGTCACTCTAGAAATGTAGCATGACGTAGAAAGTCACTATTAAACAGCTCATTGTAATTCTTTTTTCCAAAAATATTAGTCATTCATTAATATTGCTTCAGTGAGGTAGATAGTTGACAACAGCTAGTGGGCATGTGTTTTTGCTTTTACAATGACATATGTGCTTTTTTAGGTAGGTGCTTTGGAGTTTTGCATGAATGTTTTCATAAATATATTTCCTATAGAAAGAAACTGAGCATGGTTTATACAAAGCTTGTTTTTCAATATCTTCTACCTGAGCTTGTAGGTAATACAGGATCTCATGATTTGCTTCAAAATCTTAATGTACAAGCTGGGATTTCCCTCTTATGCATAAGTGCTAAAGGATGTGTCATCACCTTCATCTCAAAAATGTATCTATCTTGGTTATGTGGAATACATTCTCTATTTGACTGTCTAGGACAATGCATCAGCCCAAATATTTCTTGAATCCAATAGTTGACTACATTCCACTAAATTCTGGGTCCACTGTTGGTACCATAAAGCAGGTACTTTGGGATGGGAAGGATACTCATTTTACCTTTCTCTCTCCACCTTTGAACTTGAGGGCCTATGATGCAGGAGTCTAGTATAGTTTTGAGCAGTGATAGAATTCTCAGGTACATTCTAAAGGTCTTGATTCTAGGGATGGAGTCATATACCATTTACTAGCTAGGAAGTTTTGCACCATATGATGCAGTCTGTTCTCTCCCCTATGATGGGTTGTATTGCAATCAGCACTTTATGTGCTCATTGAATGCTATCTCCAGCCTTCTAACTACCAGGCAATTCTGGTGAGGAAAGAGGAAACAGCAGGGTGAATCTGTCTCCCCAAGCACAGTGCCCTCTTGTGACGCTTTCCCAATCACATGGGGAAAGTGTCACCTGCACAGGGAGGTCTCGTGCTGACTCCAGTGGTAGCCTCCTGTGTTGCCAGGAAAGATCTGGTTGGGGGTGAAGCCACAGACGACAACGTCTGATGGCTGCCATGGGGCTCTGTCCCCCAAGAAGGCTCTAAGCATTCCAGGAAGCTTCTCTTGGACCATGTGATGAGGTCATTAGGCTGTACTACTGTACAAAAGGATGTATTGAGGGTAGCAGGGATGTAAAACACATGGCTTCCAGGGTACCTGAAACTCAGGTTTCTTTTCTGTGGCCCTACCTAGTTTCTCCCAAATTTCAGATATCTGTGTCCAAAGACATAGAAGTATATTTAAATTTAGCATTTCCAATTATTTTTAAAATAATTCCCCATACTATATTTTATGGCTTGATTTGATTCGAAAACATGCAAATAGGTACCACTCCGGCAGGAAGGTAACGGTGCTCCATGCAGTCATACTGGCCACACGACCTTAGAGGTGGATGGTGAACCTATGGATGAGAGTTCCTCCAAGAGACCCAGGACCCTTCCACACAGCCCTATATCCCAGAATATCAAGACAGAAAATCCCACAATATCTGTTTTGAACAGGGTTATCTGAATCCACACTCAGATAATGTGGGATTTTCTGCCTTGATATTCTGGGATATAGGGCTGTGTGGAAGGGCCCCCACTTGACCACTCTGGTTAAGTTTTGAAAACTTACGGCTGTGACTTCCTTTACTGAGTTAACCCAACAGTAATGCTGTCTTTCTCCTCTCCTGGCATTATCATATTTCCCATTTTTTCATAGTATGTCAAAAGTATAATACCTATAGTTTTTGTCATATTGTAATCTAGACACAGTTCAGGCAGTCAACTCTCTTTCAGTAACACATTTTTGAAGAGATTGATGCCCACTCCAAATCCCCAAATCCCAGTGAGCTTTAGTCAATGTCCACCTTTCTTCATGATCCAGATATAGAGATATGTCAAATTCACATATATAATATATCTTCCTAAGTACCTACTTGTTTTCATGTCCAAAATATTTCTTTGTGTATTTACTGGAAAACACACTTCCTTAAAAACATGCATTTCATTCAAAAATTATGTATTTTATATTTTAACCTAAAATGCACAAACTTGTATCAATATGAGGTCTCCTTTTTAGGTAACAGCTATATTGTTAAATTAGACATTACAAAAACCTGAAATATAGCTGCTTTCTAATGCATGTATTTCTTAGGAGGCTGTGAATTAGATCAGTATTATTTATCACCCAAACACACGTCTCAAGAATCTTCAGCTTGCACATGACTGAATTAGGTGCTTCCTCACAATACTTGACTTCCTCACATGACTCCCCACACAGCAGCTCTTGCAGCGACATGCTCCAATGAGCTGTCAAAATAGTTGTTG